ACCTCCAGCTGGAGTGCTCACAGTCCAGGGCTTCCCAGATCTCAGTGTCTATACCAGAGTTTTTAAGGTTGGCTTTGAGCCCATCTTTAAATCCCTTTTTCCTGCCCACCAACATTTCGTTTTCCATTCTTGAGTTCAGAGTAGAGCAACTGCTTTGGGAGACGGTGGTCGGGCATCTGGACAACGTGGCCGGTCCAGTGGAGTTGATGGCGGAGGACCATTGCTTCAATGCTGGTGGTCTTTGCTTCTTCCAGAACGCTGACATTTGTCTGCTTGTCTTCCCAAGAGATTAGCAGGATTTTCCAGAGGCAACGCTGGTGGAATCGTTCCAGGAGTTGCATGTGACGTCTGTAGATAGTCCATGTCTCACAGGCGTATTGCAGGATTGGGAGGACAATAGTTTTATAAACAAGCACCTTGGTCTTCCTATAGATGTCCCAGTCCTCAAACACTCTCTGAGAAAGGCAATATATAAATATGGTAAATAAATAAATAGGGACAAGAGGGATCCCCTCACCTCTGCAGGAGTCTACCGTGTACCATGCAGCTGTGGACAAGTCTACATAAAGACCACCAAACGCAGCGTGGCCCAAACACAAATCAAGGAACATGAAAGGCATTGTAGACTACTTCAACCAGAGAAATCAGCCATAGCAGAGCACCTGATGAACCAACCTGGACACAGCATATTATTTGAGAACACAGAAATGCTGGACCACTCTCACAACCACCATGTCAGACTACACAGAGAAGCCATTGAAATCCACAAGCATGTGGACAATTTCAACAGAAAGGAGGAAACCATGAAAATGAACAAAATCTGGCTACCAGTATTAAAAAAACTCTAAAATTACAACAGCAAACAACAGAGAGGAAACAAACAAGGACATCTAATCACCTCTCAACAAAAGCTCTAGGTACTGTCAGGCCATAAAATGCTAATCAAGGTGGTCAGTTGAAACATTCACACCTAGCTCCAGCAGACAAGAGTCCTTTGTTCCACCCTGGTCATTCCACAGATATATAAACCAATTTTCCTAGTTCCAACAGACCTCACTACCTCTGAGGATGCTTGCCATAGATGCAGGCTAAATGTCAGGAGAGAATGCCTCTAGACCATGGCCATATAGCCCAAAAAAACCTACAACAAGTCAAATAAATAAATAGTTTGCCTTCAAACCCAGAGTACTTTGTTCTCTGTCCTGGCTGATCCTGGTTTAGAAGGTGCTTACCGGGTACGGACCTTCTTATCTGCGGTCCTAACTGAAATCTCTTCAGTTTGAGCATTCAACGACAACTCTGGAAACCTGGGTTTGAATCCTTACTCAGGCTTAGAGAAAATGGTTGAGCTGGAAAGGAGAGGAGTCAATCCTGTTTGATAAGGATGAGTAAATTCTCCGTCTTGCAAAGAAGCGAGTTCCACACATATCTTAGCTTTAATTGGGGAAATGCTGGAGGGAACGTAGTTCCTCTGGAAACCCCAAATCATCCCAACCCTGAAGCTATTTATTCCTTGTTTCTTTATGGCACTCACCATTAGTTGCTTCATGTCTCTAAAGGAGTGCTGATCTGAGTGTGTGTTGTTCTTGCTACACATGCACTGCTGTCAAATTTAGCTTCAGGCAACCCTAGGAGTGACTTCTCCAAGTATTCCTGTTATCCACAGCCCTGCAAATTAAAGGCCCTGACTTCCTTGACTGAATAAGCCTAATGTCTTCCATCTGGATTATTTATTTATTTGTTTGTTTGTTTACTTTATTTATATACCGCTCTTCTCAGCCCGAGAGCGACTCACAGCGGTATACAACACAGAAGCAGCAAAATTCAAATGAATAAAAACAATTCACAACATTATACAAAAACAACATCATTACTACAAAAACCATTCTGCGTCGTCTCATCGTCCAAACCACAATCCAATATCGTTTTCCGTTGTTCCATTCCTGTAGTCATTACCAATCATTGCACTTCTTGTTCGAATGCCTTCTTAAACAACCAGGTTTTTAATTTCCTGCGGAAAATTATTAGAGAAGGGGCCAGTCTGATGTCCACGGGAAGGGTGTTCCACAGCCGAGGAGCCACCACCGAGAAGGCCCTATCTCTCGTCCCCGCCAGCCGTGCTTGTGAAGCAGGCGGGATCGAGAGCAGGGCCTCCCCGGAAGATCTCAAAGTCCTGGTGGGTTCGTAGGTAGAGATGCGGTCGGATAGGTATCTTGGGCCGGAACCGTTTAAGGCTTTATAGGCCAACGCCAGCACCTTGAATTGAGCCCTGTAGCAAATCGGCAGCCAGTGGAGCTGGTACAACAAGGGGGTGGTATGCTCCCTGAGTGCCGCTCCTGTTAACAGCCTGGCTGCCGATTGTTGGACCATTTGTAGCTTCTGGGCAGTCTTCAGAGGCAACCCCATGTAGAGAGCGTTGCAGTAGTCTAAACGGGATGTAACCAGAGCATGGACTACCGTGGCCAAGTCAAACTTCCCAAGGTACGGGCGCAGCTGGCGCACAAGCTTTAATTGTGCAAAAGCTCCCCTGATCACCGCCCGAGACCTTGGGTTCCAGGCTCAGCGATGAGTCCAGATCACTCCCAAGCTGCGAACCTGCGTCTTCAGGGGGAGTGTAACCCCATCCAGCACAGGCTGTAACCCTATACCCTGTTCGGCCTTGCGACTGACCAGGAGTACCTCTGTCTTGTCTGGATTCAATTTCAATTTGTTCGCCCTCATCCAGACCGTTACAGCGGCCAGGCACCGGTTCAGGACCTCGACAGCCTCCTTAGTAGCAGGTGGAAAGGAGTGACAGAGTTGGACATCATCTGCGTACAGATGGCACCGTACCCCGAAACTCCGGATGATCTCTCCCAGCGGCTTCATGTAGATGTTAAACAACATGGGAGACAGTATTGAGCCCTGAGGAACCCCACAAGACAATGGTTGTGGGGTTGAACAGGTGTCCCCCAATAACACCTTCTGGGATCGGCCCTCCAGGAATGACCGGAGCCACTGTAAAACAGTACCTCCAAGACCCATCCCCGCGAGGCGTTCCAGAAGGATACCGTGGTCGACGGTATCGAAGGCCGCTGAGAGGTCCAGAACAGCACCAACAGGGACACACTCCCCCTGTCGAGCTCCCGGCGCAGATCATCCACTAAGGCGACCAAGACTGTCTCAGTTCCATGTCCCGGCCTAAAGCCAGACTGCGCCGGATCCAGATAATCCGTGTCTTCCAAGAATACCTGGAGTTGTGAGGCCACCACGCGTTCCAGGACTTTGCCCAAATAGGGGAGATTGGAAACAGGCCGGAAGTTGTCAAATTTAGTGGGGTCCAGTGAAGGTTTCTTCAACAGCGGATTATGGACTTTTCGAATGTACTGCATCTTCTTATAATACCGCAAACATACAACAGTCTTAGTATTTTCGTTTAGGGAATATTGAGATCAGATTCGCTCTATCACTTCATAGGTTTGTGCATTGGATGATGACTCCAAAGGCCTAGGTTCGAATGCATGAAATCCCACTTGGAGAAGTCACACACTCTCAGCTTTAGGATAATAATAATAATAATAATAATAATACACATTATAAATAACATTTACTATTATTATTCATTATTAATTATAATATTATTTATTAATTAATGATAATTAATAGTAATTAATATTAATAAACAGGAAATAATGCCTTCAAACCAGGAACAGAAAAATATTCAAATTGTGTTACATAGTGTAATAATAATAATAATAATAAATTTTGCTACTGTTATGAATCTTAATGTAAATATCCAATATGCAGGATAATTTTGTGATTTGGGAGTTGTAGTTACTGGGATTTGTAGTTCACCGACAATCCAAGAGCATTCTCAACTCCACCAATGATGGAAATGAACCAAACTTGCCACACAGAACTCCCATGACCAACAGAAAATACTGGAAGGGTGACCTTGAGTTTTGGAGTTGTAGTTCACCTACATCCAGAGAGTGCTGAGGACTCAAATAATGATGGATTCTTGCCAGTGATGACACGAATACTCAACATGTCAAAATGTGAACACAGGTGGAGTTTGGGGAAAATAGACCTTGACATTTGGGAGATGCACTTGCTGGGATTTATAGTTTATCTACAATCAAAGAGCATTCTGAACTCCACCAATGATGGAATTGAACCAAACTTGCCACACAGAACTCCCATGACCAACAGAAAAGACTGGAAGGGTTTGGTGGGCATTGACCTTGAGTTTGGGAATTGTAGTTCACCTACATCCAGAGAGCACTGTGGACTCAAACAATGATGGATTTGGACCAGACTTGGCACAAATATTCAATATGTCTAAATGTGAACACTGGTGGAGTTTGGGAAAAATAGACCTTGACATTTGGGAGTCGTAGTTGCTGGGATTTATAGTTCACCGACAATCCAAGAGCATTCTGAACTCCACCAATGATGGAATTGAACAAAACATGGTAGGCAGGACTCCCATGACCAACAGAAACACTAGAAGGGTTTAGTGGGCATTGACCTTGAGTTTAGGAGTTGTAGTTCACCTATATCCAGAGAGCACTGTGGACTCATGCAATGATGGATCTGGACCAAACTGGGCACAAACACCCAATACACCCAAATGCGAACACTGGTGGAGTTTGGGGGAAATAGACCTTGACATTTGGGAGTAGTAGTTGCTGGGATTTATAGTTCACCTACAATCAAAGAGCATTCTGAACTCCACCAACAGTAGAATTGGGCAAAACTTCCCATACAGAACCTCCATGACCAACAGAAAATACTGTGTTTTCTGATGATCTTTGGTGACCCCTCTGACACTCCCTCGCAACCCCCCAGGGGTCCCGATCCCCAGGTTGAGAAACACTGGCATAGAGTCATATTTCTCCTCTATGAGCCCAAACGGGTGGATTTCCAACCATTAAGCCTCTCTGATGCTTTAATTAATGTGAGCCTTTAATGGGGACATTGATTATCATCCCTTGCAAGGAAAATGCAAATCTCCTTACCGTAAACATTAACTGACAGCCTCCGAGGATGTAGTCCAGAAAGGAGTAATCTCTGGCGATCTTCAAAAGGGATGTCAAACGGTTGCAGAGAGGGAAGGAAGCGGGGAGAGAGAGAGAGGAAGCCGTTTGAGCATAATGCACATAAGAAATGCTTTCTCATAAATAGCGGGATATTAAGCAAGCCAAAGAGCCATGTCGGAAATGGCAAGATGGGTCAGTTCTTTTATCTCCAAGATGAAAAAAAATATATCTAATGGTAAATGTCATATTACATCAGGCTTTAGATGCAAAGAAATTGATATATTCATGGTGGCCAGTGGTAGATAGATAGATAGATAGATAGATAGATATCTGTATCTATACCTCTATACCTGTCTGTCTGTCTGTCTGTCTGTCTATTTCTATATCTCTATATCGATCTCTATCTATTTATCTCTCTCTCTATCTATCTATCTATCTATCTATCTATCTATCTATCTATCTGTCTATCTATGTCTGTCTCTATCTATCTATCTATCTATCTATCTATCTATCCATCCATCCCCCCTCTCTCTCTCTATCTGTCTGTCTATCTACCCCCCCTCTCTCTCTCTATTTCTATCTCTATTTATCGATCTATCTATCTCTATTTATTTCTATCTATTTCTATCGATATATCTATCTATCTATCTATCTATCTATCTCTATTTCTATCTATCTATCTATCTATCTATCTATCTATATCTATCTCTAGCTATCTCTATCTCTCTATGTATATCTCTTATCTATCTCTTCTATCTATCTATATCTATATCTATATCTATCTCTCTATCTATCTCTATCTATCTATCTATCTATCTATCTATCTATCTATCTCTATTTCTATCTATCTATCTACCTACCTACCTTTCTATCTATCTATCTATCTATCTATCTATCTATCTATCTATCTATCTATCTATTTCTATCTATCTATTTCTATCTGGAGGATTCCTGTCTCTCTCTCTATGTATATCTCTATCTATCTCTTCTATCTATCTGTTTCTATCTATCTATTGATATGTCTATCTATTTTATTTTTTATTTTTTATTTCGGTTACTTCTACCCCGCCCTTCTCACCCCAAAGGGGTGAGAAGACTATCTATATCTATCTGTCTCTCTATCTATCTATACCTCTATCTATCTATCTATCTATCTATCTATCTATCTATCTATCCATCCATCCATCCATCCATCCATCCATCCATCCATCCATCCATCCATCTCTTCTATCTCTAGCTATCTCTCTCTCTCTCTCTCTCTCTATATATATATATCTATTTCTATCTATATCTATCTATCTATCTATCTATCTATCTATCTATCTATCTATCTATCTATCTATCTCTCCAGCTATCTTTCCATCTCTATCTATATATCTATCTTTTCTATCTATTTCTATCTATCTGTCTGTCTGTCTATCTCTCTCTCTCTATTTCTATCTCTATTTATCTGTCTATCTATCTCTATCTCTATCTCTAGTGATCTCTCTCTCTCTGTATGTCTCTCTCTCTCTCAATCAATCAATCAATCAATATCTATATATATCTCTATCTATCTCTATCAATCTATTGATCTAGTCCGAAAAACTTACAGCAACCCAGTGATTCTGGCCACGAAAGCCTTTGGTAATATATACCTCTCTGTTTTTGATTGAGTATTGCTAGTATTTTTGTTCCTTTGCATAACTGGGGGACGTTTCAATGCAGAAATGCATCTCAATTGAGATAGAAGAGGGATATAAATTAATGTAAATAATAATAATAATAATAATAATAATAATAATAATAATTGCAAAGACTCTGGCACAAGCCAGTCAAGGTGGTCCCAGTGGTGATCGGCACACTGGGTGCAGTGCCTAAAGACCTTGGTCTACACTTAACAATCGGCGCTGACAAAATTACCATCTGCTTACCACCCTACTGGGATCTGCATGCATTATTCGCCGATACATCCCACAGTCCTAGACACTTGGGAAGTGTCCGACGTGTGATCCAATACAACAGCCAGCAGAGTGATCTTGTTTGCTGGGCTCATCTTGTTGTGTTTCTAATAATAATAATAATAATAATAATAATAATAATAATAATAGACTCCGGCACAAGCCTATCAAGGGGGTCCCAGTGGTGATCGGCACACTGGGTGCAGTGCCTCAAGACCTTGTTTGTGATCTTGTTTGCTGGGGACTCATCTTGTTGTGTTTCTAATAATAATAATAATAATAATAATAATAATAATAATAATAATAGACTCCGGCACAAGCCTATCAAGGGGGTCCCAGTGGTGATCGGCACACTGGGTGCAGTGCCTCAAGACCTTGTTTGTGATCTTGTTTGCTGTGGGACTCATCTTGTTGTGTTTCTAATAATAATAATAATAATAATAATAATAATAATAATAATAGACTCCGGCACAAGCCTATCAAGGGGGTCCCAGTGGTGATCGGCACACTGGGTGCAGTGCCTCAAGACCTTGTTTGTGATCTTGTTTGCTGTGGACTCATCTTGTTGTGTTTCTAATAATAATAATAATAATAATAATAATAATAATAATAGACTCCGGCACAAGCCTATCAAGGGGGTCCCAGTGGTGATCGGCACACTGGGTGCAGTGCCTCAAGACCTTGTTTGTGATCTTGTTTGCTGGGGACTCATCTTGTTGTGTTTCTAATAATAATAATAATAATAATAATAATAATAATAATAATAGACTCCGGCACAAGCCTATCAAGGGGGTCCCAGTGGTGATCGGCACACTGGGTGCAGTGCCTCAAGACCTTGTTTGTGATCTTGTTTGCTGGGGACTCATCTTGTTGTGTTTCTAATAATAATAATAATAATAATAATAATAATAATAATAATAGACTCCGGCACAAGCCTATCAAGGGGGTCCCAGTGGTGATCGGCACACTGGGTGCAGTGCCTCAAGACCTTGTTTGTGATCTTGTTTGCTGGGGACTCATCTTGTTGTGTTTCTAATAATAATAATAATAATAATAATAATAATAATAATAATAATAGACTCCGGCACAAGCCTATCAAGGGGGTCCCAGTGGTGATCGGCACACTGGGTGCAGTGCCTCAAGACCTTGTTTGTGATCTTGTTTGCTGTGGACTCATCTTGTTGTGTTTCAAATAGTAACTACTGAAAGGAAAGTAAATACCCAATGGCCTTCTAAGTCTTTGAGTAGTTTCACAACCAATGCTAAACTCTTACCTGGGAATGCAGTTAAATTGTTTTATGTCACATCAGAGAAATCAAAGGGATTTTGGCACACATTTGAGACTCCACCCATTCCTCAATATGAAGCCACTCCAAGCATCTGAGAGTGCATCTACACTGTGGAATTAATGCAGTTTGACACCACTTTTAACCACCATGTCTCAATGAGACAAACCCCCAGATGCAAAGAGGTTGACGTGACCACTGACTTTCCAAATTCCCACTGAATCAGTGAAACCAATGGGGAAATAGCCATAAAGGCTCCACTGCACATCTTCCCCTCTAGAAATTGGCTTTTCACATGCTTTTTCTATGTGAAAGGAATTTCAAAAGCGGGACTCACCTTGCAGGATTTGATGATGATGATGCCTGAGTTTTTGTAGCTCCTCTTCTTCTTCTGCTTTTTGGGGTTAATGCATTCAAATTCTACCTGTCCGGAAGGGAGGAAAATGGCCCACGGTAAATATATGTTGTAGGTTTATAGTAAGTTGCTGTATTGTCCAAGATGCTCAAGGTAGAGTCAGAAAACACAGTGGAACTTGGAGGCAACGTTAGAATCCTAGAGTTGGGAGGATCCCCAAAGGCCATCCAGTCCAACCCCCTTCTGCCAGGCAGGAAGGCACAATCGAAACACTCCTGACAGATGGCCATTCAGGTTCGGCTTAGTGGCCATCCAAGTCTCTTAAGCCTTGCATCCTTAAAAAAGGGGGGGGTTGGAAAGGAGGGCTTGGATGGTGTCTTCCTGCTTAACTGAAGTGATTGGACTGAATGGCGGTCTCTTCCAGCTCTAGGATTCTATAATAATAATAATTATTATTATTATTATTATTATTATTATTATTATTATTATTATTTAATAATAATATTTAATAATAATGATGATCGAGTCATCTTCTATGAAGGCTTTTACGCAGAGGCTGGATGGCCATCTGTTGGGAGGGCTTTGATAGGGTTTTTCCTGCTTGGCAAAAGGGGGCTGGTCTGGATGGCCCTTGGGGTATCTTCCAACTCTAGGATTCTATAACAATGATGATGATGATGATGATGATGATGATGATGATGTGATGAAGTCGTCTTCTATGGAGGCTTTTAAACAGAGGCTGGATGGCTATCTGTTGGGAGGGCTTGGAATGGGTCTTTTTGCCTGGCAGAAGGAGGTTGGACTGGATGACCCTTGGGGTCTCTTTCAACTCTAGGATTGTATAATAATAATAATAATAATAATGATGATGATGATGGAGTCTCCTTGTCTGGAGGTAAAAAGCAGACTTTTTACTTTTTTTTACTTTACTTAGGCGATCCCTCGTTGGATGAGTAAGATGGTCTTCCATTAGGGATTTCCTTGTGGGTCCGTATGTGGCTGTGGAGCCCTATTCTTGCTCTGCATCTTCTTCCGCAGTGAGGGCATTGGTTTCCAGGTGGAAGGCGGTCCCGGTCGGGGTTGGCTTGACGCGCCTTCCTCCTGTCACGTTTCTCTCTTTCACCCTCCACTCGTGCCTCCTCAAATTCTGCAGCACTGCTGGTCACAGCTGTCCTCCAGCTGGAGCGCTCAAGGGCCAGGGCTTCCCAGTTCTCAGTGTCTATGCCAGAGTTTTTAAGGTTGGTTTTGAGCCCATCTTTAAATCTCTTTTCCTGTCCACCAACGTTCCGTTTTCCGTTCTTAAGTTCAGTAGAGCAACTGCTTTGGGAGACGGTGGTCAGGCATCCGGACAACGTGGCCGGTCCAGCGGAGTTGATGGAGGACCATCGCTTCAATGCTGGTGGTCTTTGCTTCTTCCAGCACGCTGACATTTGTCCGCTTGTCTTCCCAAGAGATTTGCAGGATTTTCCGGAGGCAGCGCTGATGGAATCGTTCCAGGAGCTGCATGTGACGTCTGTAGACAGTCCACGTCTCACAGGCATATAGCAGGGTTGGGAGGACAATAGCTTTATAAACAAGCACCTTGGTATCCCTACGGATGTCCCGGTCCTCAAACACTCTCTGCTTCATTCTGGAAAATGCTTCACTTGCAGAGCTCAGGCGGTGTTGTATTTCGGCGTCGATGTTGACTTTGGTGGAGAGGTGGCTGCCAAGGTAGCGGAAATGGTCCACATTTTCTAATGTGACACCATTAAGCTGTATTACTGGCATTGGAGAGGGATTGGCTGGCGACTGCTGGAACAGCACCTTGGTTTTCTCAATGTTCAGTGACAGGCCGAGCTTCTCATATGCTTCTGCGAAGGTGTTTAGAGTGGCTTGTAGATCTTCTTCTGAATGCGCACAGACGACATTGTCATCAGCATACTGGAGTTCTATAACAGATGTTGTTGTAACCTTGGTTTTGGCTTTCAGTCTGCTGAGGTTGAATAGCTTGCCATCTGTCCGATAGATGATTTCCACTCCGGTGGGAAGCTTCCCATCAACAAGGTGAAGTATCATAGCGATGAAGATGGAGAATAGAGTTGGGGCAATAACACATCCCTGTTTGACACCTGATTCCACCTTAAATGGGTCACTTTGGGAGCCACTGCTGTCCAAGACTGTTGCCATCATGTCATCGTGGAGGAGCCGCAGGATGTTCACAAATTTGTTTGGGCACCCGATTTTGTGGAGGATGGTCCAGAGAGCGCTGCGATTCACTGTGTCGAATGCCTTTGCAAGGTCGATGAATGCCATGTACAGAGGTTGGTTTTGTTCTCTGCATTTTTCTTGGAGCTGTCTTGCAGTGAAGATCATGTCCACTGTTCCTCTGGAGGGGCGGAAGCCATTCTGGGATTCTGGGAGGGTGTCTTCTGAGAGGGGCAGAAGGCGGTTTGCAAGGATTCTTGCGAGGATTTTCCCAGCGGAGGTTAGAAGGGAGATACCTCGATAGTTTCCGTAGTAAAAAGCAGAGGCTGGATGGCCATCTGTCAGGAGGGCTTGAATTGTGTCTCCATGCTATTGGGGTGATTTACAACAAGTAACTGCATTCAGAAGCATCCAAGAGAAGGCGGAACGGCACAGCAAAGGACACGGAAGATGTGCGGAGTTGCTTACTCACAAGGTAAACAAGGGTGTGTGCATTAATAGTATTTGTAAGCTTTTACTGGAAGCACCCCAACCGGTCTTTTTCAAAGAGCCTCCCTTGCCAAGTACATGAAAAGAATAAGGATATACATAAAGGATTCCCTTAGAGAGAGAATGAAGTTTCTTCATATCCACAAAGAGCATTGAATGCAATACTGAATAGCTAGAAGAAAGAGACAAATATTTGTAGTGTTGGTTTGTACATCAACTTGGCTGATTTCTTTGTCTGGAGAAGATCCAAAGCATTTACACTGTAGAATTAATGCGGATTGGCAGCACTTTATCTGCCATGGCTCAATGCTACAGATTGGTTCTATCATATTATGTTATTCTATTATTCTATTATTATTATTATTATTATTATTATTATTATTATTATTATTATTATATGATACTTCAGCTTGTTGATGGGAAGCTTCCCACCGGAGTGGAAATCATCTACTGGACAGATGGCAAGCTATTTAACAGACCGAAAGCCAAAACCAAGGTCACAACAACATCTGTTATAGAACTCCAATATGCTGATGACAATATCATCTGTGCACATTCAGAAGAAGACCTACAAGCCTCTCTAAACAGCCTTTGCAGAAGCATATGAAAAGTTTAGTTTGTCATCGAACATTGAAAAAACCAAAGTGCTCTTCCAGCAAACGGCACCAGCCAATCCCTCTCCAATGCCAGAAATACAGCTTAATGGTGTAACATTAGAAAATGTTGACCATTTCCGCTCCCTTGGCAGCCACCTCTCCACCAAAGTCAACATTGATACTGAAATACAACACCGCCTGAGCTCTGCGAGTGCAGCATTTTTCCAAATGAAGCAGAGTGTGTTTTAGGACCGGGACATGTTAATGTAAAATTAATGTAATGTGAATGTTTAAATGTAATTTTGTGCAATGCCTGTGAATGTAACCAGATTGCTTTAGCAGAGAGTATATTGACACTGAAAGGGTTAAACAGTCAAGCCTCTAATGAACTGTGAAGATGTGACCCTGAGTTTGCCTGGAACACATAGGGAGGATCCAGAGATAAGGTTTCGTTCGTCCTTCTTACTTCTGTGTGTTTTTTTGTCTGTTTGGTTGGATGTAAAAGCGAATGTGTGCTGTATATTTGCTCTACTCAGTAAAGCTAAATGTTTGCTTTTACTGAAGTCTCAAAGTGTCAATTCTTCTAAGATTCAAAGCTTCTGTCGCACTCTGACAGGACATCCGTAGGGAGACCAAGGTGCTTGTTTATAAAGCTATTGTCCTCCTAACCCTGCTATACACCTGTGAGACGTGGATTGTCTACAGATGTCACATGCAACTCCTGGAGCAATTCCATCAGTGCTGCCTCCGAAAAATTCTGCAAATCTCTTGAGAAGACAGACAGAGAAATGTTAGCGTGCGGGAAGAAGCAAAGACCACCAGCATTGAAGCGATGCTCCTCCGCCATCAACTCTGCTGGACTGGCCACGTTGTCCAGATGCCCGATCACCATCTCCCAAAGCAGTTGCTCTACTCCAAACACAAGAATGGAAAATGGAATGTTGGTGGGCAGGAAAAGAGATTGAAAGATGGGCTCAAAGCCAACCTTAAAAACTGTGGCATAGACACTGAGAACTGGGAAGCCCTGGCTCTTGAGCACTCCAGTTAGAGGTCAGCTGTGACCAACAGTGCTGCAGAATTCAAAGAGGCACGAATGGAGGGCGAAGGAGAGAAACGTGCTAAGTGGAAGGCGCATCAAGCCAACCCCAACCCGGACCACCCTCCTGTTGTGATTCAGTTTGACTCTGAGTCTGAAGCTGAGCCCTGTGGGTCTTGTGAGCCAGAGTTCCCTGATGAGGAGGATGATGGGTTACAGATTTCTGTTCATGACAGGGTTAATGGTGAGGCAGCAGAAGGGGAAACAGCAAGTCAGTTCTCAGGGGGAAAGAATGTCAGTGAGACTGATAACGGGAGTGAATTCCCACACGGCCGGGTGAAGATGTGGAGCCCTATTCTTGACTCGCGTCTTCTCCCGCAGTGAGGGCATTGGTTTCCAGGTGGAGGTGTTGCAACTCAGGGTAGTTTTCACCTCGCTCCCAAACACCACCACACCAAAGCTGTAGATTTTGTAGTTTATTGAGAAAAAGTCAAAACATAGTATAAGAAAAGTTCCAAAAAGGCTTAAATGCAAAATCCAAAGGCAAACACATGAAGCATAATCCTTTAAGCAATGGTTAAACAATAGTCCATGAAAACAGTTGAACACAGAACCCAAAATCCCAGACTCAGGAAGCCTTTGTCTTCTCACGGTGATCCAGCCCAGCTTGTAAACCAAGATGATAAGGGGTTAGAGAGCCTTAAAGATAATGAATTAATCGCCTGCAATTAAGGGTCCAGAGAAGTTCTCGCTTAGCTAGTAAACGAGAAGCCAAGTCGGCCAAAGGTCATCGCAATGCGTTCATGACTGCAAAGGGTATTTAGCCTTCTGGCTGACAAACAGGCATTGTCAGTTCAACGTGGCTCTTTCCATGCAAACTTCTATGGATTAACCTTGGCTTTAAGCAGCATGCTTCTGGCTTCCTGAGTCTGGGATTTTGGGTTCTGTGTTCAACTGTTTTCATGGACTATTGTTTAACCATTGCTTAAAGGATTATGCTTCATGTGTTTGCCTTTGGATTTTGCATTTAAGCCTTTTTGGAACTTTTCTTATACTATGTTTTGACTTTTTCTCAATAAACTACAAAATCTACAGCTTTGGTGTGGTGGTGTTTGGGAGCGAGGTGAAAACTACCCTGAGTTGCAACACCTCCACCTGGAAACCAATGCCCTCACTGCGGGAGAAGACGCGAGTCAAGAATAGGGCTCCACAGTCACCTACGTACCCACCGCCAGGACACTGAACTTGGAGGACCATCATCCTCGGACAATGAGGGATCACTTAAGTAAGAAAGTAAATAAGTATCATAAATACATGGAAAACACAATTAGACAGAAAACTCTTTCAAACCAGGAACAGAAATTTTTCCAAACTTTGTTACGTAGTGTAATGTTTGGCAAGGTGGAAAGCAGGAGGAAAGGAAGATCTCATTCCTGGTGGAGAAACTCCGTAAAAGATGTCCTGAGTTTGCAAAACCTGAAAGTTTTTCTCTTTTCAGTTGGGATCTTGTGTCTTGAATGTGGAAGGCTGCCCGTAATGTCCTTTTTCATCTCTGTTGTTGGCAAAAGATGCCAAGCTGAACGTGATCAAAGGCTCCCAGTCTGTCCAAGACATCGGCCATCAAAGCATCGTTCCTCCAAAACACATGAAGGAAGATAAGAAGGGAGCCTTAATTGCCTATGCTTGATGGCATATGGTATATTTGCCTAATTAGGGCCAGTTGATAATGAGCCAGAGGTTGAGCATAAAGGACAACAACGACAACAACAGAATGCAAACAGCAGGATGGAGAAAACAGACGAATCCTGCCAAAGCCAAGAATAGAGAAAACCACATCATGATATTTATTTATTTATTTGTCGTGTCAGAACAACCAGTGAAATTATATTACATTTCTAACAGAAAACAAAGAAAACAAGCAAGTTACAAAATGTGTGAGTTTGGTAGTTGATTAAATGTCCTTTGACCAGTAGCTGGCCACTTGGAGTGCTTCTGGTGTTGCTGCAAGAAGGTCCTCCATTGTGCATGTAGCAGGGCTCAGGTTGCATTGCAGCAGGTGGTCAGTGGTTTGCTCTTCTCCACACTCGCATGTCGAGGATTCCACTTTGTAGCCCCATTTCTGAAGGTTGGCTCTGCATCTCGTGGTGCCGGAGCGCAGTCTGTTCAGCGCCTTCCAAGTCGTCCAGTCTTCTGTGTGCCCAGGGGGGAGTCTCTCATTTGGTATCAGCCATTGGTTGAGGTTCTGGGTTTGAGCCTGCCACTTTTGGACTCTCGCTTGCTGAGGTGTTCCAGCGAGTGTCTCTGTAGATCTTAGAAAACTATTTCTAGATTTAAGTCGTTGACGTGCTGGCTGATACCCAAACAGGGGATGAGCTGGAGATGGGGACATGAGAGAGGGGGACATGAGAGAAGCCTCCTCGCAGGATTGCAAGACATCCGGGCGTCCCCTGGGCAACGTCTTCGTAGACGGCCGATTCTCTCACCACAGAAACGACCAGCATGCAAACCACATCATGATGAATCATAGAATCCTAGAGTTGGAAGAGACCTCATGGGCCATCCAGTTCAACTCCATTCTGCCAAGAAGCAGGAAAATCACATTCAAATCACCCCCGACTGATGGCCATCCAGCCTCTGCTTCAAAGCCTCCAAAGAAGGAGCCTCCACCACACTCCAGGGCAGAGAGTTCCACTGCTGAACAGTTCTCACAGTCAGGAAGTTCTTCCTCATGTTCAGTTGGAAACTTCTTTCTTGTAGTTTGAAGCATCCTAGTCTCCAGGGCAGCAGAAAACAAGCTTGCTCCCTCCTCCGTATGACTTCCTCTCACGTATTTAAACACGGCCATCATGTCTCCTCTTAGCCTTCTCTTCTTCAGGCTAAACATGCCCAGCTCTTTAAGCCACTCCTCATAGGGCTTTTTCTCCAGACCATTGATCATTTTAGTCTCCCTCATCTGGACACATTCAAGCTTGTCAACATCTCCCTTCAACTGTGGTGCCCAGAATTGGACACGATATTCCAGATAGACACAAGAGGATTTTTAAGGACTCGTACAAATTAAACCAAACTGATTTGTTTAGCGTTGTTGTCTTTTTGTAACAAAAGTAATTATCTTTCAGAGAAGAATTACATGCTACTTAGTCATTTCTACTCCAAAGGAATCTTAAGCCAAATGACCCCCAAAGGAGGTTTAAGGGGTTAATCTGACCTCGCTTTGGAAGTACAGGTTGAGAATCCCTCTTCCAGAATCCAACAACAACAACAACAACAACAACAACAGAACCGCTCCAAATTCCAAAATGGAACAGTTGGCTGGATAAGAGAGTGACACTTTTGCTTCCAATGTACGCAAATGTTGTTTCTTGCATAAAATGATTATAAATATATGGATAACCTTCAGGAAACTATGTACTTGAAACATACATTAATTACATTAATTTCACATTGAGACATCCTTAAGATATATAGAATCCTAGAGCCGGAAGAGACCTGGTGGGCCAACCAGCCCAACCCCATTCTGCTAAGAAGCAGGGAAATTGTATTCAAAACACCCCTGACAGATGGCCATCCAGCCTCTGTTTCAAAGCCTCTAAAGAAGGAGCCTCCACCACACTCCAGGGCAGAGAGTTCCACTGTTGAACAGCTCTCACAGTCAGGAAGTTCTTCCTCATATTCAGGTGGAATCTCCTTTCTTTCCTGTATTTTGAAGCCATTGTCCTGCATCCTAGTCTTGAGGGCAGCAGAAAGGAAGCTTGCTCCCTCCTCCCTATGACTTTCCTTCACATCTTGATCCATGGTCCTAGTCATGTCTCCTCTCAGCCTTCTCTTCTGCAGGCTAAAAACATGCCCAGCTCTTTGAGCCGCTCCTCATAGGGCTTGTTCTCCTGCGATCATTTTAGTTGCCCTCCTGTGGACCAGGAAACCAATGTCCTCACATGCGGATCAAAAATAGGGCTTCACAGCCATCTATGGACCCACCGCTAAGTCACACTTGGAGGACTATCATCCTCAGGCTACGGGGGATTGCCTAAGTAAGTAAAGTACTATGAAAGTAGTTGTTCTACTCCAGAAACTTTGTTTTTGTGGCTGTCTGTTAGGGATTCCTCATTTTCGGAGGAGGAAGGGGAGCAGGGAAATGCTCAGGAATTGGAGGGAGAAGAATCAGGTGATGAGGGTTTGAAAGTGCCCACATTTCTAGAGAGACGAAAAGAGACAGAGCACAGGCGGTGTTCAGCTAGGATAGCTGCTAAAAACGCTGAGCTAACTGGGAGACACCCTAGCACTTCCTGCATGGGGAATTCAGGGCTATAAATCAGTAGCAGGAGCAGTCAGCTTTCACTGATAACAACGACCCTGATATTGCTGTTTTTACTCCAATAGCCCTGAATTCCCCATGCAGGAAGTGCTAGGGCGTCTCCCAATTAGCTCAGCGTTTTTAGCAGCTATCCTAGCTGAACGCTGCCTGTGCTCTGTCTGGAATCTGCTTTGTGTCTGCTGCTAAGAACTTAGTGCATTGTCTGTTGTCTGATGGAAGGCTGGTGTTTCTTTTGGGACTTCGTAAGAGACTTTAATTTGCGTCTACATTAAGACTTCCTCACTTTCTTTTTGCACTTTTCAACCCGATTTGCTTATCCTTTGTGCTTGCTGAAGTAAAGCATTTTTCTTTTACTTTCAACATTGTCTAAAGGCTGTTTTTGAAGGGCAACTCAGGACACTGCCACAAACTAGGTTGAATTGCTTGAGACTCGATGATGAGGTATCTATTGAAAAATTAGACCCAAATGTGCTGAAGGCTGTCCCTCCTACGAAGACAAAATTCTTGCAGTTTAATAAACTTTCCCCATATTTTTATGATAGATAAAATTAGGGAATTACATTGATAATCCAGGAACAAAAATTGTGTTACGTAGTGTAATTCATCAGAGACTCCTTTCAACCAGGGACTTGGAGGAGTCTCAACTTTTAGGAGATCTGGACCCAAACATAAAGGAATCAAATGCTTCCAATCAGGGGCTCTTGTCAGAACTTACTGCAAAGGAATCTTGGGCTTCGCACATCTTGGCAACGGAGGTCTGGAAATCCCCAATGAAGTCGTGGCCTCCGTCATTGTCATAATCGTAACAGATAATCTGAAAGAAAAAAAGGGGGAACATCAATCAGATCTTGCTGATCACGGAGCTCATCAAAGGAATGGATTTACACACACACACACACACACACACACATATATATATATATTAGTGTGTATATGCTAGCAAAAGCATGTGTGTGTGTGCGTGTGTGCGTAGATGTGTGTGTGTGCGTGTTTGTGTGTATATGCTAGCAAAAACATGTGTGTGTGTTTGTGTGTGTATACGTGTGTGTGCACGCGCGTGTGTTTGTGTGTATATGCTAGCAAAAGCATGTGTGTGCGCGTGCGTGTGTGTTTGTGTGTATATGCTAGCAAAAGCATGTGTGTGTGTTTGTGTGTGTATATGTGCATGTGTGTGCGTGTGTGCATGCGCGTGTGTGTTTGTGTGCATATGCTAGCAAAAGCATGTGTGTTTGAGTGTGTATATATATGTGTGTATGTGTGCTCATGTGTGCACGCGTATGTGTTTGTGTGTATATGCTAGCAAAAGCGTGTGTGTGTTTGTGTTTGTGTGTGTGTATATATATATATATATATATGTAGATAAAGGTTTTCCCGGCATTGTCCCTAGACACCTCCAAGGTCATGTGGCCGGCATGACTGCATGGAGCGCTGTTACCTTCCCGTCGGAGCGATACCTATTGATCTACTCACATTTGAATGTTTTCAAACTGTTAGGTTGGCAGAAGCTGGGGCTGACAGCAGGAACTGCCCGGATTCAAACCTGTTACCTTTCGGTCAACAAGTTCAGCAGCTCAGCATTTAACTCACTGCACCACCGGGGGCACCATATGGAGAGGAGCCCTCGGTGGCGCAGCAGGTTAAACCGCTGAGCTGCAAAACTTGCTGACCATAAGGTTGCCGGTTCAAATCCAGGGAGCAGGGTGAGCTCCCGCTGTCAGCCCCAGCTTCTGCCAACCTAGTAGTTAGAAAACATGCAAATGTGAGTAGATCAATAGGTAAGAGTGGGAAGGTAACGGTGCTCCATGCAGTTGTGCCAGTAGCTACATGACCTTGGAGGTGTCTATGGACAACTCTGGCTCTTTGGCTTAGGAATGGAGATGAGCATTGTAATGATTCTTACCTAATAGGCCAGAATAAGAACCTGGGAAGACAGTAGGGCAAACCTCCATTTTGAGAGTGTCTGCCAGTAAAGCAGCCATCTTGAGGGAGGATAGATAGAAGATGGGAGGAATTAGAGGTCTCCTGGGATTGGCTAGAGCAGAGGAGGAGGAGCCAAGTCTATTAAGGTATATTGTTGTAAGCCCAATGTGTGTGTGTTAAAGGAAACCTTGCAGAAAAGCCTTGCAAAAGTGTTAATGATTAACTGTAGCTGCAAAAGCTAGCTCAGCTCAGGCAAGGCTGGGTCACGCCTTTTGAATGTAACAGTTTTTTGAGGCTTTTGCAGCCTGTTGGCAGTTGGCTGTTTGAAATGCCAGAGAGCAGAAGCAAGAAGTTCATGTTATGCTCTATGATTTATGACGCAGAAGATTTATTCTGTATTACTTACAGAGACTATGTTAGTGTGCCAAACTGTTTTATTTTCAACTCTGCAAACCAAGAGTAAAGTTCTACTGTTTTATTCCTTCTGACTGGTCTGTGTCTTTGGCATTGGGTTTTTTGGTCATATTGGACATTGCTACTGCGCAACAAATTGATTCTGCGTAACAAAGTCTTGGGAGGGAAAAAGATTTCAGTTTCTGAGAGGAGAGAGATTTGGGAACTGGAGGGAGAAAAAGTGGTTTGGAGGCTGGGTATTTCTGAGAGAGTGTGTTTTGTGTCAGGGCAGGGCTGAATAGCTGACAAGAAAGGCCAGACAGCATCCTTATTCCTTGTGGGAGACAACACAAGGGATTTGCTCTCTAGTTTGAGTAAGTTAGCTGTATGGACTCTGGGGAGAGTTAGCTAATTGCTCAGAAGACAGCCTGGGTTAGGTTAGTCAAGAACTCATTGCTATTTTGCTGAAGTAGAGTAAGGGATTTTGTTTGTAACCAGTAACTATATCCGTGAGATTAGCTCTGTTTGTATCCAAGTCTAGAAACTCTTTTAAGCAACCATTAAGATATTGTGCTATTGTAATAAGTCAAGCGTTTGTGCCTCTCAAAAGAAGAAGTCAGTTGTCTGTTTTTATAAACAAATCTTTTCTCTGTTTGACTTTTAAGAAGCCTCTATCGTTACTCATTCCATCGGTAATCCTTGAGTAGAATTTCCAGTCAGTTCAACATCCTGATATCACAAAAAGAACTCTAACCCTGACAATCCTATGTTTGGAGTAAAAGGAAGAGCAGTGGTGGCAGAAGAGGGAAAAGTATACCTCAGAGCGGCATTTCAAAAATCCTAAGACAGCTTAGGTTGGTGGCAGCATATAAATATAAGACAAGTACCTTACACTCTACCATTACATATAATATATAATACCATATCGCTACCATAATATAGATCAGCTGGGGCTTGATTCCTTTATACTGGTGGCTTGCACTGTGATATTACAAGAAATTCTTGATAGTGGTATCAGCTGGTGGGATATTATATTGAAATCTTCTTAATTGGTGGCAAGCGACGAGATTTATAATACGATTTAACTTGCACTTCTTTATAAGCATCAACCCCCAGAGTCAGACTCAACGAGATTTAATGTCAAGGGGAAACCTTTACCTTTACTTAGATCTGGCTTCCCACTTCAAAAATGAACCTGTTCTGACTTATGTACAAATTCAACTTAAGAACAAACATAGAGAAACAATCTTGTTTGTAGCATGGGGAACGTCCATACCCTGTTGGCGATTCCAGGGTGAGGTACTTGACAATAATGAGCTTCTAAAATAAGGGTAAAAATTGATAGAAATTTTCCTAATGCTCCTTATATGCCTCATTGCTGATATTTCCGAGGAGGGAAGATACAATCTGCACAAAAGAACTCCCAATTTCAGGTATCAGTCTGCAATTAGTTCAAGAGAAGAGGCGGCGAACTTGGCCATGTTTTTACCTTGATCTGCTTTTCGACGTCTCCGTCACATAGAGATACTAAAGGCACAGTGAATGGCTTCCATACAGGGTCCAACGTGTATTTAATCACCTGGAATTAAGAGAGAGAGAGAGGAGGCATTGAGAAAGATTACAACTATGTTTGTGTTTAGGGAGGGGGCCCGGAGGAGGGGGGCGCTATCCAGGTCGTGTGGGGGAGGAGATTTGTGGGTCACCAACATCCCAGGGAGAAGCGCAACAGAGTTCTTGCGACCCTGGAGAAGGTAGGAAGTGGTAGGTGCCATGGCAGTCCCCTCGGTCTCAAGGTCCTGCTGATTAATGCCAGATCCGTTAATGGCAAGACCTCTGCCATTCAGGACTTGATTCTGGATGAGAGAGCAGATCTGGCATGCATCACGGAAACCTGGTTGGGTGAGCTGGGGGGAGTAAATCTCACTCAGCTGTGCCCACCGGGCTTCGGGGTGCATCATCAGGCCAGACAGGGGGGGCGGGGAGGAGGGGTCGCAGTGGTCTTTCGGCAATCCATCGCCGTGACCAGATGCGCTGTACCGCAAGCACCTGGGTTCGAGTGTGTTCTCCTGAGGGTGGGGAACCGTGACAGTGTGGGGTTTCTGCTGGTGTACCGCCCACCCCGCGACCCAGTAGTTTCCCTGTCTGAGCTAGCGGAAGTGGTCTCTAATTCGGCCCTGGTCTTCCAGCGCTTGGTGGTGCTGGGAGATTTTAACATTCATGCTGAGACCTCTTTGTCTGGCGCAGCTCAGGACTTTATGGTTGCCATGACAACCATAGGACTGTCACAAATTATATCAGGACCCACCCACCAGGCTGGACACACCCTCGACCTAGTTTTTGTGGCGGACAGTGGTATGATCAGAGTGGAAGAACAAAACATCCTTCCAGTGTCATGGTCTGATCACTATCTGGTCAGCTTTAGACTCGCTGCGACCCCTAACCTTCGCAGGGGTGGAGGACAAATTAAGATGGTCCGCCCCAGGAGACTGATGGATCCAGATGGATTCCTGAGGAACCTTGGGGTTCTTCCTGCCATGGACCCTAGCGATCCTGTTGACGCCTTGGTCGACCTTTATAATAAGGAGATGTCCAGGGCGATAGACACGATCGCTCCCGAACGCCCCATCTCGTTGCGACGTGACAGGCCGTCTCCATGGTTTACCGAGGAGTTGGCTGTGATGAAGCATACGAGAAGGGGGCTAGAGCGCAAGTGGAGGAAATCTCGGGACGTGTCTGATCGAGCACGGGCTAGGGCCTCTCTTAGGGCATACTCCGTGGCTATACGAGTGGCCAGGGAATCTTTCACGACCACCCGTATAGCGTCTGCAGCAAATAGGTCATCGGAGCTGTTTCGGGTTGTTGGGGAGCTCCTTCACCCACCTGTGGTGGAGGAGATCTCTGACGACCCAGCAGCTCGGTGTTGCGATTTCGCACACCATTTTGCAGGCAAAGTTGCCCAGATACGTCTTGAGCTCGACTCCAATTTCATCGCAGTGCCAGAGGAGGTGACTGAGGCATCTGCTTGTCCAATTTTGTGGGATTCTTTTCGGCTTGTTCTACCTGAGACCGTGGAGGAGGTCCTTGGGGCTGTGAGGGCGACCACTTCGGCCCTAGACCCTTGCCCATCCTGGCTCATTAAATCTGCCAAGGAGGGGTTGGTTGATTGGTTTGTGTTGATTATTAACGCATCGTTGGAGCAAGGGATTTTTCCATCTAACTTGAAACAGGCTGTGGTTCGCCCACTCCTTAAAAAGCCTTCCCTTGACTCTACGGTGCTGAACAATTACAGGCCGATCTCCAACCTCCCTTTTTTGGGTAAGGTGCTGGAGCGGGTGGTCGCCCTCCAGCTCCAGGGCTTCCTTGATGACATCAATTACCTAGATCAGGCACAGTCAGGTTTCAGGCCTGGTCACAGCACCGAGACAGCCTTGGTCGCCTTGGTGGATGACCTCCGTAGAGGACTGGACAGGGGGAGTGTGACCCTGCTGGTTCTCTTGGACATCTCAGCGGCTTTCGATACCATCGATCATGGTATCCTTCTGGGTCGCCTCTCTGGGATGGGTCTCGGGGGCACGGTTTTGTCGTGGCTCCGATCCTTCCTGGAGGGACGAACCCAGATGGTGAAGCTGGGAGACACGTGCTCGGACCCCTGGCCTTTGACCTGTGGGGTCCCGCAAGGTTCTATCTTTTCTCCCATGCTTTTTAACATCTACATGAAACCGCTGGGAGAGGTCATCCGGAGTTTTGGAGTTGGGTGCCATCTCTATGCAGATGACACACAACTCTACTACTCTTTTCCACCTAATTCCAAGGAGGCCTCTCGGGTGCTAGACGAGTGCCTGGCCGCTGTGTCCATCTGGATGAGGACGAACAAGCTGAAGATCAATCCCGACAAGACAGAGGTCCTCCTGGTCGATCGTAAACCAGATCGGGGTATAGGATGGCAACCTGTGTTGGACGGGGTTACACTCCCCCTGAAGCCACAGGTCCGTAGCTTGGGAGTCCTCCTGGATTCATCGCTCACGCTTGAGGCTCAGGCTTCGGCGGTGACCGGGAGGGCTTTTGCACAATTGAGACTTGCGCCAGCTGCGTCCGTACCTCGCTAAGGCTGATCTGGCCGGGGTGGTCCATGCCTTAGTCACCTCTAGACTGGATTACTGCAATGCGCTCTACGTGGGGCTGCCCTTGAAAACGGCTCGGAAATTCCAATTGGTCCAACGGGCAGCAGCCAGGATGTTAACTGGGGCCCATTACAGAGAGAGGTCAACCCTCCTGTTTAAGGAGCTCCACTGGCTGCCGTTTATTTTCCGAGCCCAATTTAAGGTGCAGGTGCTTACCTACAAAGCCCTGAACGGTTTGGGACCACCCTACCTGTGTGACCGCATCGTTGTCTACGAACCCACACGTTCACTCCGGTCATCTGGAGAGGCCCTGCTCGTGATCCCGCCTGCGTCACAGGCGCGCTTGGTGGGGACGCGAGACAGGGCCTTCTCCGTGGTGGCCCCCCGCCTCTGGAACACCCTCCCGAAAGATCTCAGACAAGCCCCTACACTGGCAGTTTTCAGAAAGAATTTGAAAACCTGGCTGTTCCAATGTGCCTTTTCAGATTAGGAATCTCCCAGGACCAAATCCCAGAAGCACCTTAGTTACCAAAGATCACCGCACACTGCACACCGCACTTTTACTATAATCCCACACCCCTCCGACACATCAGCACTTTTAACCTTGTACCCTATTTTGGCCGACTCAGTTTTAATAATGTCTTGTCGTGTTGTTATTGTTATTGTTTTTGCTTGACTGTTTTATTTGCTATGTATTGTATTGCTGTATTGTTTTGGGCTTCAGCCTGCTGTAAGCCGCATCGAATCCTTCAGGAGATGCTAGCGGGGTACAAATAAAGTTATAATAATAATAATAATAATAATAATAATAATAATAATAATAATAGATCCATTGCAATGTATTGGTTTTATTTTTATTGGCGTATTCATTTTATATATGGCATCGAATTGTGCCGACTGTTCGCCGCCCTGAGTCGCCTTCAGGCTGACATGGGCGGGGTAGAAATCTATATAAATAAAAATGTAATGTTCGTTTGTGGGATTAACAGAACTCGAAAACCACTGGACGAATTGACACCAGATTTGGACACAAGACACCTAACAACCCAATGTATGTCCTTCACTCATAAAAACACTGAAAAACACAGCAGAAGGGACTTAAAAACCCAAAAAGCTAAATGACGAAAAGCTACATGACAATACAGAAAAAAGGAAGAAAGAGGGAGGGAAGGGGAGGAAAAAAAGAAAGAAAGAAAAGAAAAGAATGAGAGAAAGAAAGGAGGAAAGGGAGAAGGAAGTATGGAAGCAAAGAGGGAAGGAAAGAGGTAGAGAAGGAAGGAAGGAGGGAAAGAAAAAGGGGGAAGGAAAGTTAGAGAAGGAAGGAAGGAGAGAAGGAAAGAAAAGAGGGAAAGAAGGAAGGAAAGGGAGAAGGAAGCATTGAAGCAAAGAGAGAAGGAAGGAAAGAGAGAAGGAAGACAGGAGAGAAAGAGGGAGGGAAAGAAAAAGGGGGAAGGAAGGAAAGTTAGAGAAGGAAGGGGGGAAGATGTAGAGAAAGAGGGAGGGAAGGAAAGAAGGAAAGAGAGACAGCAGAAGAGAAAGAACAAGGGGAAAGGAAGGAAAGAGACAGAGAAGGAAGGAAGAAGAGACGGAAAGACGGGAAGGAAGGAAGGAAGGAAGGAAGGAAGGAAGGAAGGAAGGAAGGAAGGAAGGAAGGAAAGAGGGAATGAAGGAAGGAGGGAGAGAAGAAGAGAAAGAGGGAAGGATGGCCACAGCAACACATTGTGGGTACAGCTAGTAATGTAAACAGATCTATATAAATAAAAATGTCATGTTTGTTTGTGGGATTAACAGAACTCAAAAACAACTGGACGAATTGCCACCAGATTTGGCCACAAGACATTTACTAACCCAAGGAGTAACTATCACTCAAAAAATTGATTTTGTCATTTGGGAGTTTTAGTTGCTGGGATTTATAGTTCACCTACAAAGAGCATTCTGAACCCCACGAATGATGGAATTGAACCAAACGTGGCACGCAGGACTCCCATGACCAACAGAAACACTAGAAGGGTTTAGTGGGCATTGACCTTGAGTTTGGGAGTTGTAGTTCACCTACATCCAGAGAGCACTGTGGACTCAAACAAGGATGGATCTGGACCAAACGTGGCACGAATATTCCATATGCCCAAATATGAACACAGATGGAGTTTGGAGGAAATAGACCTTGACATTTGGGATTTATAGTTCACCAACAATCAAAGAGCATTCCGAAACCCACAAACGACAGAAATGGGGCAAACTTCCCACACAGAACCCCCATGACGAACAGAAAATACTTAAGGCCATCCAGTCCAATTCTCTTCACCAGGGCAAGAAAATGAAATCAGAGCCCTCCTGACAAAGAGCCATCCAGTCATAAATATAGATAGTTAGATATGATTCTCTCTCACACACACAGATATAGTATCATAGATTTGAAAGAGACCCTTAAAGAAGGACTATGATATGTTGCATATTCCAGAGTAGGCAAATCAGACACTCTCCACATCAACACTGACAAAGAAACAACACGAAATACTGTTTACTCACAAGCAGAAAGGAATTGCATATAAGAGAAACCAGCAGTTTCTCATTATTTTATTTTCCAGATCACCAGACTGGGCCACAGCAACGCCTGGCAGGGGATAGCTAGTAATAAATAATAATAATAATAATAATAATAATAATAATAATAATAATAATCACCTCTCAACAAAAGTTTGCTCCAGGCACTGTCAGGCCATTATATGCTAATCAAGGAGGTCAGTTGAAACATTCACACCTAGCTCCAGCAGACAAGAGTCCTTTGTCCCACCCTGGTCATTCCACAGATATATAAACGCTTTTTCCTAGTTCCAACAGACCTCACTACCTCTGAGGATGCTTGCCATAGATGCAGGCGAAACGCCAGGAGAGAATGCCTCTAGACCATGGCCATATAGCCCGAAAAAACCTACAACAACCCAGTGATTCCAGCCATGAAAGCCTTCGACAATACAATAATAATAAATTTGTTCCTGGGTTATAAATGTCATTTCCCAATTAGTTCTATCATACAAACATGGGAAAAGTTTATTAAACTGCCAAAACTTTGTTGCCATCTGCAGACAGAAAGGTTAAAAACTCAAATATGCAAAATATTACCATGAAACCCGAAGGATGAGAGTGGATTGTTCATGGAAATGACTGGAAACGCTTCCCACGAAAGGTGGACAGATCAAGGGGAAACCCACGCAAAAAGGGAGACTGCAGGGAACTGTCAGACTCTTGAAGCTATATACACGTGGGCGTCTCGAAGGACTCAGACACAGAAAATTCACACTTCCCGAATGTGTCGGCACTGAGACACAAATGGGTGCGGAAGAAGACTGTTCTTTTGCACAGTGCCAACGGATGCACCGTCTCCGGTTCATAAAGGGTTCCTGCACCCTTCAACGTTTTGGCTGCATGTCTGCCTATATCATATACACCAGCGGCACAGAATATACAGAAAGCATTGCTAATGGAGACAGGATGTCTAATAATCTGCTTCGTATTCACTCCTTTTAATGGTGATTTGTGGGAGTGAACTGCAATCTACAGACGTGAGTTGCCACAATAAGATTTGCAATCCAGAAGCATCCACCGCTCCCTTTTCCACATTAGCTGCCAAAATGAACACATTGTCAGGCTCGGTTTATATTTATTATTTATTTATTTATTTACTTTGCTTCTATACCGCTGTATCTCAAGCCCGAAGGCGACTCACAGCGGTTCACAAACAGTAAAAACAGTAGAAACAGCAGTGGTTCCATACAACATATAACAATTGACTTAACACATTATCCATAAATTAACAATAAGCAGTTACAATGCACAATTATTACAAAAAACAACCGTACCCAATCTTCTCATCATCCAAGCGTAGTCCAGGTTCGTCGTCCATTGTTCCATTCCTATGTTCCATTACCAGATTGCACTAAATTACTCAAACGCCTGCACAAACATGCAGGTCTTCACCTTTTTGCGGAATACCATTAGAGATGGTGCTAGTCTAATGTCCGTAGGAAGGGCGGTCCACAGCCGAGGAGCCACCACCGAGAAGGCCCTATCTCTCGTCCCCGCCAGCCGAGCTTGAGAAGCAGGCGGGATCGAGAGCAGGGTCTCCCCGGAAGATCTCAAAGTCCTGGTGGGTTCATAGGCAGAGATGCGGTCAGATAGGTAGCTTGGGCCGGAACCGTTTAGGGCTTTAAAGGCCAACGCCAGCACTTTGAATTCAGCGGTAGCAGATCGGTAGCCAGTGGAGTTGGCGCAACAGGGGGGTTGTATGCTCCCTGCGCTCCGCTCCTGTTAAAATCATGGCTGCCGAGCGTTGGACTAGTTGGAGCTTCCGAGCTGTCTTCAAAGGCAACCCCACGTAGAGAGCGTTGCAGTAGTCTAAACGGGATGTAACCAGAGCGTGGACTACCGTGGCCAAGTCAGACTTCCCAAGGTACGGGCGCAGCTGGCGCACAAGCTTTAGCTGTGCAAATGCTCCCCTGGTCACGGCCGAAACCTGGGGTTCCAGGCTCAGCGATGAGTCCAGGGTCACACCCAAGCTGCGAACCTGCGTCTTCAGGGGGAGTGCGGCCCCATCCAACACAGGCTGTAATCCTATGCCCTGTTCGGCCTTGCGACTGATGTCAAACCTAAAATATGTCAAACCTAAAATCTCCAGGCTGACCTTTTGTATCCATTCTTGGTAAGATTTCGAAGGCAACACGTAGCCTTTCAAACGTGGTTGGACTACAAATCACAGCATCCTCGGTGATTGGCTATGCTGTCTTTCAATATTTGAAGGGCTATAGTGAGACCACTTCATGGCATAAGGGAACCCAAATGGCTCTACTCCCAAGTTGTGCTACGGAAATTATTTTAATTCAGTTGCTTAGGATGGAGGGTCATCATCAGTACTGCTGTTATCATTGTCATCACTATCATCATCACCATTACGATCATCATCAGCACCGGGATTGTGGTGCAGCTGGCTGAGTGTCAGCTGCATTAAGATCACTTCTGACCAAAAGGTCATGAGTTCGAAGCCAGCCTGGGTTGGAGTGAGCTTCCGACCAATTGTGTAGCCTGTTGTCGACCTTTGCAACCCGAAAGACAGTTGCATCTGTCAAGTAGGAAAATTAGGTATCACCTATGTGTGGGGAAGCTAATTTAACTAATTTATGAGGCCATAAAAAAAGACTCCAGCAAAGCATGTGGGGAATGGGGAAGTACTTCATCAGTGTCGCAGATGGACGATGAAAGCGACAGCTCCCCTGGCGGCCAGAAAAAGTTAAATAGCTTCTAACTGTCTGTCTATATCTATTGTGTGTCTTTGGCATTGAATGTTTGCCATATATGTGTACATTGTAATCCGCCCTGAGTCCCCTGCGGGGTGAGAAGGGTGGAATATAAATACTGTAAATAAAATAATAAATAAATAAAGTATCATCATCACCATTACGATCATCATCAGCACCATCATGTCAACACCATCTGCACCATCATTATCATCATTACGACCATCACTATCATCATCACCATCACTATCATTATCATCACCATCACTGTCATCATCATCATCTCAACACCATCACCATTACCATGACCATCATCTCAAAATCATAATCATCATTACCATCACCACCATCGCTATCATCACCACTGTCACCATCACTATAATCTTCACCATTGTCAACACCATTAACCATCATCATCATCACCCTCATCTCAATGCCATCGCCACCACCATAGCTATCATCACCACCATCACTATTATCATTCCATCATCATCACCCTCATCTCAACATCATCACCACCGCCATAGCTATCATCACCACCATCACTATCATCATCATCACTATCATCATATCATAATCCCATCATCATCATCATCACTATCATCTCAACACCACAATCACTATCATCATCACCATCACTATTATCATCATTACCATCATCACCATTACCATCATCATAATCACCATCATCTCAATGCCATCACTACAACAATAATCACCACCATGACCATCATCATTATCACCATCACCATCACCATCATCATCATCATCATCATCCCATCATCATCGCCATCAACTCAGCTCCACCATCATTATCATCATTATTATCATCACTATCATCATACCATCATCAACATCATCATCTCAACACCACCATCACTATCATCATCACTATTATCATCGTCACCATTACCATCATCATAATCACCATCATCTCAATGCCATCACCACCATTATAACTATAATCACCACAATCACCATCATCATTATCACTATCATCCTCATCCTCACCATCCCATCATCTCAGCTCCACCATCACTATCATCATTATCATCATCATCAACATCATCTCAACACCGCAATCACTATCATCATCACCATCATCTCAATGCCATTACCACCACAATAATGATAATCACTACAATCATCACCACGATAACGATAATCACCACAATCATCATTATCACCATCACTATCATCACAATCGCCATCATCTCAGCTCCACCATCATTATCATCATCATCATCATCATCACTATCATCATCCCATCATCATCATCAACATCATCTCAGCACCACCATCACTATCATCATCACCATCACTATTATCATCATCTCCATCATCACGATTACCATCATCATAATCACCATCATCTCAATGCCATCCCCACCACTATAACTATAATCACCACAATCGCCATTATCATTATCACCATCACTATCATCATCCTCATCATCCCATTTACATCACCATCATCTCAGCTCCACTAACAATATCATAGTCACAATTACCATCATCATCACCATTATAACCATCACTATCATCATCATCACCACCATTACCATCACTACCACCAACATCACCACCACCATCACTATTGTTATCATCACCATCATAATCATAATCACCACCATCATCACCACCATTGCTATCATTACCACCGTCACTGTCATCATCATGATCATCTGAACATCATCACTATTATCACTACCATCACATCAACACCATCAGCAGCCCCATCACTATCATCACCATCACAGTGTGGAAGTGTTGGGATGGAAACTCAGGATTTCTCACCATTGGGGCTGATGGGAGTTACAGTACATCATGTTCTGGAGGGCTGCACCATTACAATTCCCTTGTTTCAAGGGAACAGCCCTTAAAAGATCCAAGAGGAGTAAGTTCTCCCCCTACTTTACTTTTGACTTGACGCCAGTTTCCGTGCCGCAAAAGAATTAAAGAGAAAAGCCATTTACGTCACACAGGGCAATGGTCCAAACATCCCCCTTACCTCTGTCCTGTGAACCAGCATCCATTTCCCATCGTCCCCGGGTTTATAAAACTCTAAAAATGGGTCTGATTTCCCAAACAAATCCTGCAAAGACAAAGAGAGAGCAACAGTTATTGAATTATGTCTCTCCAGCTGTCATGGATACGCATGCAATGGATTGTGAGAAGAGGGGAAAGCACCGCATTTACGCATCCATAGATTCAACCATCTGCAGCCTGAAAATATTCCCCAAAGCAAACCTTGAGTTTGCCATTTGATATAAGGGACATCATTGCATTTTAACTATGTTTTAATACATGATTTCAGTGGCACTGTGGGTTAAACCGATGAGTTGCTGATCTTGCTGATTGAAAGGTCGCAAGTTCAAATCCGGGGAGCAGAGTGAGTTCCCGCTGTTAGCTCCAGCTTCTGCCAACCTAGCAGTTCGAAAACATGCAAATGTGAGTAGATTAATAGGTACCGCTCCGGCGGAAAGATAGCAACGCTCCATGCAGTCATAGTGTTATGCAGTGCTACATAGTGTTGAGCCCCCAGTGGCACAGTGGGTTAAACCGATGAGCTGCTGATCTTGCTGACTGAAAGGTCGCAAGTTCAAATCCGGGGAGCGGAGTGAGTTCCCGCTGTTAGCTACAGCTTCTGCCAACCTAGTAGTTCGAAAACATGCAAATGTGAATAGATTAATAGCTACCAGTCCGGCAGAAAGATAACGACGCTCCATGCAGTTATGCTGGCCACATGACCTTGGAGGTGTCTACGGACAACGCCGGCTCTTCAGCTTAGAAATGGAGATGAGCACCAACCCCCAGAGTCGGACACAACTGGACTTAATGTCAGAGGAAAACCTTTATCTTTTTATTTTACTATGTGGTGCCACGTCTTAAGACAAAAGGAGAGGTGGGTCATTAATAATAATAATAATAATAATAACAATTATTATTATTATTATTATTATTATTATTATTATTATTATTATTATGACACTATACAAAATAATACAGTGTGGATACAATGTATTAGACCAGAGAATGGGAAATCTTCCTATTTCTAGTCTGAACAAAATCTGGCTACCAGTATTAAAAAAAACCTCTAAAATTATAACTGTAAATAAAGAACAACACTCAAACACAGGGGAACTCCAGACAAGAAACAATCAGGGCCAGCTAATCACCTCTCAACAAAGGATTCTCCCTAAAAACTGTCAGGCTATGAAATGGAAATCAAGGTGGCCAATTGAAACATTCATACCTACCTCCAACAGACAAGAGTTCTTTCTCCCACCCTGGATCTTCCACTTTTCCTAGTTAAAGGTTTTTCTCTGACATGAAGTCCAGTCGTGTCTGACTCTGGGGTGTGGTGCTCATCTGCATTTCTAAGTCGAAGAGCCGGCGTTGTCCGTAGACACCTCCAAGGTCATGAGGCCGGCATGACTGCATGGAGCGCTGGGGCAGCCTCACTTGGCTGGCTCACGCTGCCCATTGGGCCTGACGGATAGCGTGAGCCTGCCAAGGGAGGAGCAGCACCGCGTGACCTACTCGCGCACAAAGCACCTCACAAGGTGCTTTATGCACGAGTAGGCCATGCGGAGCAGCTGCCCTCGGCTGGCTCACGCTGCCCATCAGACCTGACAGATAGCGTGAGCCTGCCAAGGGAGGAGCAGCACCGCATGGCCTACTTGCGCGCAAAGCACCTCGCAAGGTGCTTTATGCACGAGTAGGCCATGCGGAGCAGCTGCCCTCGGCTGGCTCACGCTGCCCATCAGACCTGACAGATAGCGTGAGCCTGCCAAGGGAGGAGCAGCACCGCATGGCCTACTTGCGCGCAAAGCACCTCGCAAGGTGCTTTATGCACGAGTAGGCCATGCGGAGCAGCTGCCCTCGGCTGGCTCACGCTGCCCATCGGGACTGACGGATAGCATGAGCCAGCCAAGGGAGGGGCACTGTGGGGTGGGGCGCTCCTCCTCCGCGGGCCAGATAAGTGCCCTTGGCGGGCCGGAAGTGGCCCGCGGGCCATAGTTTGAGGACCCCTGTATTAAACTGTGTAACAATAATACAGCTAGAATACAATGTGTGTACCTATCAAAACACCCAATACATAACACTATGTAAACAACCAATACATAACACTATATATTGAAAGATGGGCTCAAAGCCAACCTTAAAAACTCTGGCATAGACACTGTGAACTGGGAAGCCCTGGCCCTTGAGCGCTGCATTTGGAGGTCAGCTGTGACCAGCAGTGCTGCAGAATTTGAAGAGGCACAAATGGAGGAGGAAAGAGAGAAACGTGCCAAGAGGAAGGCACATCAAGCCAATCCTGACCAGGACCGCCTTCCACCTGGAAACCGATGCCCTCACTGCGGGAGAAGATGCAGAGCAAGAATAGGGCTCCACAGTCACCTACAGACCCACCGCCAGGATACTACACTTCGAGGACCATCATCCTTGGACTACGAGTGATCGCCTAAGTAAGTAAGTAAGTAATGTACAAAGGTATCAGGATGAGGGTCTTGGAATGGAAATAAGGATGATATCACCAACCTTTTTATCCAGCTTTCTGCCAGCCATGCTAAGAGTGATGACTCTGTTGTCTGACAGCTCTTGGGCTGCTATCTGAAAGACAAGCGGAAACGTCATTCAGTTTTAGCAAGCGGAACACATTGCATCTGTAGGTCCACAGCCAATGAAGAGATCCACCTCATCAAACTTTTCTTTAGGAGAAAAACAGAGTCCCATAAATCCACTTCTAGCACTTCTGGCCCAGAATAATTTGCATCTACGCATGCATAATGAATACAGTTTGATACCATTTTACGGCCTAAGCTCAATGTTATGGGATTGTGGGAGATGTAGTTTGGAGAGGCGCCAGCCCTCTTTGGAAAAAAAAAAGCCTAAGGACCTTGCTGTGACCTGCCTCGAACCATGGGAGAGGCGGGTAGAAAATAACAATATTAGTAACAACAACAACAACAACAACAAGATGAGTCAACAGCAGACAAGATCACTCTGCTGACTGTTGAATTAGATCACACGTTGGACACTTCCCAAGTGTCTAGGACTGCGTGATGTATCGGCAAATAATGTGTGCAGATCCCAGTAAGATGACCTTCTGCAGCTGGCACATAGTAATTTTGTCAACACTGATTGTGTTTAAGTGCAGGCCAAGGTCTTTAGGTGCTGAACCCAGTGTGCCGATCACCACTGGGACCACCTTGACTGGTTTGTGCCAGAGTCTTTGCAGATTGATCTTTAAATCCTCATATCATGTCAGCTTTTTCTGTTGTTTCTCTTCAATCCTGCTGTCACCTGGGATGGCAACATCAACAATCCATACTTGGTTTTTTAACACGATTGTGAGGTCAGGAGTATTATGCTCCAAAACTCTGTCCGTCTGAATTCAGAAGTCCCGGAGTAGTTTGTGCTCCTTTTCTTAAACTCTTTCAGGCTTGTGATCCTACCAGTTCTTTGTCGCAGGCAGATGGTATTTGTGGCACGAGTGCCAATGAATTATTATTATTATTATTTGAAACACAACAAGATGAGTCCACAGCAGACACTCTGCTGGCTGTTGTATTGGATCACAAGTGTCTAGGACTGTGTGTTGTATCGGCGAATAATGCATGCAGATCCCAGTAAGATGGCCTTCTGCAGCTGGCAGATGGTAATTTTGTCAGCATCGATTGTGTTTAAGTGTAGGTCAAGGTCTTTAGGCACTGCACCCAGGCTGCCAATAACCACTGGGACTACCTTGACTGGCTTGTGCCAGAACTGCTGTTGTTGTTGTTGTTGTTGTTGTATTGTCGAAGCTTTCATGGCTAGAATCACTGGGTAGTTGTAGGTTTCTTCGGATTATATGGCCATGTTCTAGAGGCATTCTCTCCTTGAGGATGCTTGCCATAGATGCAGGCGAAATGTCAGGAAAGAATGCCTCTAGAACATGGCCATACAGCCTGAAAAAAAACTACAACAACCCATTATTATTATTATTATTATTATTATTATTATTATTATTATTATTATATTTTATATAATATTTTATATAATAATAATAACAATAATAATAATTATTATTAGAACTACAACTCCACAACATTGAGCCATGGCATTTAAAGTGGTATCAATGCATTCATTATGCACGTGTAGATGCAAATGATTCTGGGCCAGAAGTGCAAGAAGTGCAGAACGTTTCCGAATGCATGTTTGACAGATATAGGACAATGTGTCCAAGGGAAGCCAACTTAAGAAGGCAACCTACGAAATCCGCATGCTTTGCTCAGCTTATGTAAATGACTCCATCGACACGCTCTCTTGGGCTTAAACATTTTGTATTTTCAAGACCAATATCTGGGATTTTCCCAGTTTGCTCCTTGCTTTGCAAGCAGGAGAAATTCTGCACAGAATAAGAATAAGTCAAATAAGACAAAGAAGGCAAAATAACTGGGCTGGAGCTCTCATTGGGTCAACAACAACAACAACAATTTTTATTGATTAGCCAGTTGGTCTTATCAAAAACAGACAATGCAGACACAACATACAACATACATCTAGTCCTCTTAAAGTAAAATACAAATATACACGTAGCCATAGATATATGCATCAATATTATTGAGTCAGCAGTAAAAAGACATTCTAAAAATAATAATTTAGTTAGGTTGCTGTGAGTTTTTTGGGCTGTACGTTCCAGTAGCATTCTCTCCTGATATTTTGCCTGCATCTGTGGCTAATGGCATCTTCAGAGTTTCTGTTGGCAGTGATGAAAGTGGAGTGTATGTATGTGTGTATAACTGTGGAATGATGTCCAGGGTGGAAGAAAAAACCCTTGTCTGTTTGAAGCAAGTGTGAATGTTGCAATTAGCGAGCTTGAATAATAATAATAATAATCATCATCATCATCATCATCATCTTTATTTATACCCCACCACCATCTCCCCAACGGCGCCCCCCGGTGGCGCAGTGGGTTAAACCCCTGTGCGGCAGGACTGAAGACTGACAGGTCACAGGTTCAAATCCGGGGAGAGGCGGATGAGCTCCCTCTATCAGCTCCAGCTCCTCATGCGGGGACATGAGAGAAGCCTCCCACAAGGATGATAAAAACATCAAATCATCTGGGCGTCCCCTGGACAACATCCTTGCAGATGGCCAGTTCTCTCACACAAGAAGTAACTTGAAGTTTCTCAGGTCGCTCCTGACATGACAAAAAAATAATCTCCCCAACGGGGACTCAGGGTGGCTTACATAAGGCCAAGCCTAAACAACAAATTACAGCAAATTACAAATTATGGACGGACGGACGAATAGCATTGACTGGCTATGAAACTCCAAAGTCGATCAGTGAGGGTATCTGCATAGAGGTGGCCTGGCCTTTATTGCCTGGAGGCACCCTGTTTGGGAGGCATGTATATGTATGTACACACATACACAAACAAATCTATATCTGTCTCTGGGTTACTGTGAGTTTTTCGGGCTGAATAGCCATGTTCCAGCACCATTCTTTCCTAATATTTCACCTACATCTGTGGCTAAGGGCATCTTGAGAGGTCTGTCGGCAGTTATTTATTTATCGTGTCAGTATCAACCAGACAATTGTATTACATTTTTTACATTTTTTTTAACAAACAGACAAAACAGAGTTTGCAAGCTTGGTAGTTGATTAAATGTCCTTTGACCAGTAGCTGGCCCCTTGGAGTGCTTCTGGTGTTGCCGCAAGAAGGTCCTCCATTGTGCATGTAGCTGGGCTCAGGGTGCATTGCAGCAGGTGGTCAGTGGTTTGCTCTTCTCCACACTTCCACTTTGTGGCCCCATTTCTTAAGGTTGGCTCTGCATCTCGTGGTGCCAGAGCGCAGTCTGTTCAGCGCCTTCCAAGTCGCCCAGTTTTCTGTGTGCCCAGGGGGGAGTCTCTCATTTGGTATCAGCCATTGATTGAGGTTATGGGTTTGAGCCTGCCACTTTTGGACTCTCGCTTGCTGGGGTGTTCCAGCGAGTGTCTCTGTAGATCTTAGAAAACTATTTCTTGATTTAAGTTGTTGACGTGCTGGCTGATACCCAAACAGGGGATGAGCTGGAGATGTCTCTGCCTTGGTCCTTTCACTATTGGCTGCTACTTCCCGGCGGATGTCAGGTGGTGCAATACCGGCTAGGCAGTGTAATTTCTCCAGTGGTGTAGGGCGCAGACACCCCGTGATAATGCGGCATGTCTCATTAAGAGCCACATCCAGTGTTTTAGTGTGGTGAGATGTGTTCCACACTGGGCATGCATACTCAGCAGCAGAGTAGCATAGCGCAAGGGCAGATGTCTTCACTGTGTCTGGTTGTGATCCCCAGGTTATGCCAGTCAGCTTTCCTATGATATTGTTTCTAGCACCCACTTTTTGCTTGATGTTCAGGCAGTGCTTCTTGTAGGTCAGAGCAGGTCCAGAGTGACTCCCAGGTATTTGGGTGCGCTGCAATGCTCCAGTGGGATTCCTTCCCAGGTATCCTCAGAGCTCGGGATGCTTGTCTGTTCTTAAGGTGAAAAGCACATGTCTGTGTTTTAGATGGATTAGGGATCAGCTGGTTTTCCCTGTAATAGGCAGTAAGAGCACCTAGAGCTTCAGAGAGCTTCTGTTCAACCATCTCAAAGCTCCCTGCTTGAGCAGTAATGGCACGATCATCAGCATAGATGAAACTCTCTGTCCCTTCTGGCAGTGGCTGGTCATTTGTGTAAATGTTGAACATGGATGGAGCAAGCACGCTCCCCTGAGGCAGGCCGTTCTTCTGTTTCCGCCATCTGCTTCTCTGGCCCTGGAACTCAACAAAAAAGCTCCTGTTTTGTAGCAGGTTTCCTATGAGGCGGGTGAGGTGGTCGTCCTTTGTGATATTATATATTTTTCTCAGGAGGAGGCGGTGGTTTACGGTATCATAAGCCGCTGACAGGTCTATGAAGACAGCTCCTGTGATCTGCTGCCTTTCAAAGCCATCTTCTATGTGCTGAGTCAGGTTCAGCACTTGCGATGTGCAGCTTTTGCCTTTCCTGAAGCCAGCTTGGTGTGGAATCAGACAGGGGTCTATTTTTTCTGCAATTCTATGCAAAGTAAGTCTCTCCAGAACTTTGCAGAGGTGGCACAGCAGGGAGATTGGTCTGTAGCTTTTTGGGTCATTACGGTCTTTACCTGGCTTCAAGATGGCGATGACTCTTGCTTTCCTCCACCTGTTGGCCATGAAGCAAGTGGAGTGTGTGTGTGTGTATACATACATACATACATACATATATACCTGTGAAATAATGTCCAGAAAGTAACATTTTATCAAAGTCCAGAATGTCACAGTTTATTATTTGGCCTCTTTAGGTTTTGGGTTTCTAACTGAATAAAGGCTCAAACAACAACAACAACTTTGCCAGGAATGCTGTCTGCATCCGAGTGGACAGAGTTTGACCCTGTGTTTTTTTCTAAACCATTTCCTTTGGAGGAAAAGAAAATCATTATCCTGAAAATACACATTTCTGCTCCCTGAAGCCTCCAGCTCATCGTGAGTCATCTTCACTAACAAGAGCTCAATGAGACATTGCCTTTTTGCTGCTGTTGTTGTTGGAAAGCAAACCAGAGCAAACAGGAGAGGGCTATTTTCAGCCTCGC